AAAAAAATAAGAAAACACTATAAAAGTATATGTTCTATTAGCAAATCGCTTGCTGGCACTTACTTTTCTCGAGCAAAAACAAGTAACCTTCTTTACATCCTTTAGAAATGCTCGGTGGGACCTCTTGCTTTTGTACCTCAGACATTCGCTTTTTGAGTTTTTCACTGAAGTCGTCAAAATTCGTTCGAGTTTTCTGGATTTTCGATTGCAAGTCTTTCATAAAAGGGTCAAAATCCTTTTTGATTTCGTGCCCCTGAAAAACAACCAGAAAAAGAATTAGAATTAAATAAATGCACTAATCCCCAGTTAACATGTTAACAAAAAAAATTGCGAAAAGGAGAAAATATCTACTTCGCATACTGGTCAACATGCAAGATTTAAACAAAAATCTTGTTAACTAGACAAAAACCACCCATTCGCAATGCACTTTTCGCGAAAATGGTAATACATTGTCTAAAAGTCAGAACATCGATGGTTAACAACAGCGCCTGACAATGCATCACATGCGTTTTCCATTAGCAAAGCACCATCGACGTTCTGACTTTTAGATAATTTTTCGTGAATTTGCAAGAATTGATCGGCTGCTTCAATGCGATTAAATAAAGTAGATTTTTGAACCGTTAATCAAGACAAAGAATTCTCTTACCTGATGATAAAACGTGAAATAAGCATAGACAAAGGTCAGGAGAGTCTCAACAAATTCAAACTTCTTCCTTTCATGAACCTCCTGAATTAAATAGACATAGTCCATGCTGGCCGCATAGAAGTGTCTTTCGGCCATGTCCACCGAAGCATCCGCCTGCAATAAAAAGACACTTTTACGGGTTTATTTACGAAGAGGAAAACACGATTTCGAGCGCTATGAGCCAAAATAAATGTGTTCCTAAACCATATGACTGTTCCAATAATAACAATATCGGCATTAACTTAACCAATTAATGGAAATTGCTGCAAAAAGTTTTGCTGATTGATTCATCTAAACGGCAGCCTGTCGATTTATTTCTGGATATTGGCCGTTTTTTCGCAAACTCCCACGCAATTGATGTCAAGAGGTTTGTTTGCGGAGTATGTACAGGCACTTAAAAAAAATGTATTTACTGCCAATGGCTCAATTTGCCTCAACGTAACATTGCCGATTTTTTTTCTGGATATCATGACGCACTTTTAGCCGTAAATTATTATATAAAGATAACATTTTTAGGCGATTATCGTATCTGATCGGTTTTATCACATTTCAATGTAGCAATGACGCCATTGGCTTGATCTTAGTTGGAAAGGTTTATTTGGGTTTTCTGAAAATCCCTTGGCCAATCACTGTTTCGATCCAACTGAGTCTAACAGCAAAAAGAAGGACTTACATCGTGCGAAACCAGTATGAGCGCTTGAATGTCGTTGCAAACTAGTGAATGCTCGTGAAAAAATCACCCTCAAGATCATTAACGTTGTCATGACACAGATTGGCAACCACAACAAAAACTCACCCCGTTATTCTAGGGCGCCAAACCATATCGATGGAATCCAGCGAAGAGAAGCCCTAAATTCCACTGTTAACTTGCATACGGCTTCAATAACCAGATGACATCAAGTTGGAAGGTCACATTTATGAATGGCTCAATGTGGATTTTTTAGAATGATAAAAGGGCATTCTTAATAATCGTGCGTAGGACGTATACAATGAAGGGTTTCCCTTATTGCGCAATCTACTTTCGGGATAGGTGCAGGGTTGCCGCCTCCAGTTAAATTCGGTTTTTTTCCCCAATAGTGCAAAAGTGAGGATTTTTTCGAGCAAAAGTATGTGTGGAAATTGCGCCTGTCGGCAAATGAGACAAAAGTTATTCTGAGAAATTTCCAATATCTTCGAATTGTTAAGAAGCGGGAGTTCAGCAGCCGATAAACGAAAAAGTTGATACAAAGACATTTTACGAAATTATAGTAAGTATTTTCTAATTTGAAGCTGGTGGGCTTCTAGGCCGTCGTGGAAAAGAACTTCTTCCTGACGTTTCACAAGCAAGAGTCGCTTGCATCAGTTGTGTCAGTTCGTTCAAAAAGAACCTGCAACCTTAGACAAGGAAAGAGAGACTCGTTTGTATGAGCAAAAGAGCGACCATATAGTCGCTCATAAAGAGAGTGACACTGAGGGTTAAATCTGGTCGGCGCATATCATAAGGACCGTTTGACAGCCAACGTCAGATAGTTCCAGTTAGAAAATCGGGTGTTTCTTTGCCAAAACGGCATTTCCGACCGGGAAAATACAACAAAACTGGGGAAAAGTATTTGAATTTTCAAAAAATTAACAATCTAGCGCAGAAAAATAGCAACCTTAAGAACAATTTTAACTGTAAGTCAATTTTAAGCTGCATGTTGCTGCTGTGTTGTTTTAAGCTGAAAATCGCAACTTGGAAGTGGAAATGTTGACCTTCGCATTTTCACTTTCCCCCTTAATCTTTAACTCAAAGTTTTGCCTTCAAAGCGAAATTTGCATTTTTCTTTAATCATTGCAACTTTAAGTGCAAAATGTCGGCTTTAGACTAAAAAAAAAACGAATTTCAACTGGGAATTTGGATCATCGCAAATCTAAATTACATTTTCACTCTCGCACAAGAATTTTAACTTTGAATGCTGATTTAATTTTCATCTTTATAAGTAGAAAGATCGTTACTTTCTACTTCATAAGTCGACTTTAAACTCGAAGTTTCATTTTCAAACTAAAAACTTCGGAAAAATATTGCAACTTTATACGGAAAAAGCGTGAGCTTTAAACCGAAAATCGCTACTTTAGGTTACTGACATGAAAATGATATAAAATTTACGAAATTTTCGGACAATTTTCATTTTTCAAAAAATCGACTCCCACCCTTGGAAAAATTTCGATCAAAAATCAAAATTTCACATGCGTGTTTTTTGAGCTTAATCGATTCCCTTCGACGTAAGAAGGTCACAAATATGCATTTATAAAGTGTTGGGGTCAAGAATAAGGAAGAAATCGTCGGCTAAAGATCGTGATCTCTCAAAAAACGCTTAAAATGTGCTGAAAATGTCTGTTATTTCGGATCTGAAACTTCTATCATGTTTTTCAATAAGTTCGATGCATTCATTGCGTCCGTGAGCTGAAAATTATGTGAAATTTAAGACATTTTAATTTTTAAAAAAAATCGACCTTTACCTTTGTAAAAATTTCGATCAAAAATAAATATTTTACATGAGTGTTTTTCGAGCTCAATCGATTCCTTTCAACGTAAGAAGGTTACAAATATGCATTTATAAAGTGCCGCAAATCGTCCGCTAAAGATCGTGAACGCTCAAAAAAAACCGAAATACCGAAAATGCCTATTAATTCGGATGTGAAACTTCTAGCAAGTCTTTTCATGAGTTTGACGCATTCCTCACGTCCGTGAAATTTAAAATATGTAAAATTTAAAACATTTTGATAAAATTTTAATCTTTTCATAAAATCGACCCCACCCTAAGGAAAATTTCGGCCAAAAATTAAAATTTTACATGCGTGGTTTTTGAGCTCAATTGATTCCTTTCGACGTACGAAGGTCACAAATATGCATTTTTTAATAATAAGGAAGAAATCGTCGGCTAAAGATCGCGAAAGCTCAAAATGTGCCGAAAAGTCTATTAATTCGGATCTTAAACTTCTAGCAAGTCTTTCAATGAGTTTGACGCATTGCTCGCGTCCGTAAGATGAAAATGATGTAAAATTCAAGACATTTTGAGGAAATTTTAATTTTTTTTAAAAATCGACGCCCACCATTAGAAAATTTTCGACCAAAAATTAAAATTTTACATGCGTGATTTTTGAGCTCAATCGATTCCTTTCGACGTAAGAAGGTCACAAATATGCATTTATAAAGTATTCGAGTCAATAATAAGAAATAAATCGTCGGCTAAAAATAAATAACAAAACTTCGGATTTTTGGGTCGACGTTGGGGCGGCAGCCACCTCTGACGATGCAATCCATGCTCATGAAACTCACCAGTTTCATGCAATTACCGATCAAAATTCCCTGAGTTTCTAAGATTTGCTGTCACGAACGAAATCGCCCCAATTTCCAACAGAACCAACCAAAATAATCTTCAACTCAAAGATTCCAAGCGATTAGACAACGACGCCTTGGCTACACGTCCAACGGTGACGTCACTGATCGATTCGCACATTGAGCAACCGGTGACGTCACTGTGAAAAGCCGCAGCTAACCAATCGGCGTCGAGGGATTGAGCGGGTTGGCAGTAATGAGCGCTCTAATCCCGTCCGACAGATCCAACCACGTGCAGAGTAATTAAAAAGATCGCCAGATGATCCAGTCAATCAGGGTCTGATTATGGTGGGAAGGCGTCTGGATTTTGCACGGCTGTTTGCCCCCGGGGGAAATTTAGAGGCGTTCGGATGTATTTCAGCGCTATTTATAACCTGGAAATACTGAAAAAATATGGGATTTTTTTAATTAATACATAAATACAATGACATTTTTGGACTTGGGCAAGATTGATTGTTGATTGGCCAGGATTTACTCACTTACTTCAGACAACTGTGATTGGTTAGAGCTTGTCAAATGTCAAAAAGTCTTACTAATGATCCTATTCGTGAGTTCAACCCACGCCCACTGGCGGCTAAATTATAACTACACTTTGACTTTGACTAGTAAGTTGACACATGCTTTGATTAGATGTCATTGTGACTTATTTTGTTCAGTTCTACTCAGCTTTTGCAAGCCTTTAAGCAAATAGGAACAAATTGAAACGTGTGTAAGTATTGTTTTATGTTATAGATTAAAAAACAAAAATTAACCTATGGAATGACAGGACGGCAGCGCCCCCATCGGTAGTTTGGTCACTTGTTTTTTTTTAGCGCCAACCAAACGTTCCCCTTTGATAATTCGGTAACTTTAAGCGCTTGTTATCTAAAACGAATCAATAGTATTTGCTAAATGAAATGCGAACATAAAAAGCATAGGAAAGTAAAAGTTGTCTTGCTCGGTGCAGCCGATTGGTTATTCTTTGCCAATTAACCTGCCGATGGACGATGTCCGGTAAAGACAACAACCCATGAAATATGTGGTTTCAGGGCAGCTTGTAATATTACGTACGTACAGTAATCACTTTCTCCGTTTTTTACGGCCGATTAAAGAGAAATGCCAAAGACCGGTTAGGAATTAGATGTGGTGGAATATTGGACAGCTTCAAGTAAATCTAATGGTTTTTTCCGCAACTTTCATCAAATTACACCAACACCTCTTTTTCGACTGAAAATGTGCCATGAAGAAAAGTTTGACTCCAGTGGTGGAGCAGCGCAAACGTTCTCAGACTGCCAGAAACATCTGTATGAAAATCAAGTCGTACTTTGGTGAAGCCAGTTTTCCATCCATTCTGGTCAGTAAGAAGCGACGCGTAAAGTAGACGGACTTGGAAAATGCAATAAAAGTTCGAAAGATAATGAAAATGTTGAAGACAATCGCAAAAAATCAATGAAGATAAACTGATAAGCAATAGATAAGTTAAGGTACATATACCAGAACCCAAAAGATCAGACTGCAAAGCGCGAGAGGAAAAAATCAAAAGTGAAGGAAAAACACGACAGTCATGCTTGAACAACAGACACAAAGCATCTAATTAATAAAGTGTAATTATTAAGAGCCGCTATTGTTGTGCAAGCACATAGAAACAAGATTTGCCACTTTCAGGGATTTTCTTGCGGCCTTCGCGCCTTTACTATTTTGACCGATTAAAAAACCTGCAGAAATCAGCCAGCATCCGTACACATGGTAAATGTCAAAACGCCTGCACATTCAATTCCATTAAAAATGAACGGAATCAACCTTCATCATAGCCTGAAAAAGCCGCGAAAAAAAAACGACGTAGGAATTAATAACATCGAGCTTTGCACCGAAAAGCGTTTTAATTAAAGACAAACGGAACAATGTGTGTATCGCCCTGTACAAAGCAAAACAAGTCGTTTCAATCAGTAGATTTTAAACGAAATTGATTGGCTTCAATCTTCAATGTGAAATATGAACCTTCCAAATTGATTCATTCGCCTACCATTTGAACAGTGGTTAATGTTGGTTAACAGTTAATAATAAAATGTGACGTCGGAGGTGGAACTCAGGGTTAATTAAAGATTCGAGTCCATTCATTTATGATTTATACTGGGTGTTTCGCGATTTGATGGCCACAGCTTAACAGCGCATTCCATGGTCAATTTTAAACCCGAAATGCTCTAAAAACTTCGCTATCCACGTGAGGTGATGAATGGGAAAAATCGTTTATTTAGCTAGAATTTAGAGTGTGCAATAAGGATTATTTCAGGTTTATCTGGTAACCCTATAGTTTTGATAGATTTCATAGAGCAAGTTGAACTTTTTGAGTAAAATCGGAGAATAGATCAACACTCCTGACTAATTATAGGAACATTCCGGATAAGAAATCCATTCCCCAGATAAACATTTCAAATTATTCCATCCTCCTACTGTCTATACCTATTGTATGTCAGTTAATGGCCAACAATAACTCAATACGACGTATGCACATATCCAGTCTATGTTGCTTAATTAAGACAGAATGGGCTTTTAACTGGATTATTTGTCAGTTGAATGCAGTCAGTGAGCTTTCCCAGTAGTCAAGCAATCTACATGCTCCTATTTGAAATAGGGATGGAACATATACTAATATTTGAAATAGGGATAAAAATCGATGTTCTGATAGTTTGCTGTTGCATACAAATTTGAAATTGATTAACTTAAACTGAAATTATTTTATTTTACTACTACTATGACATTAAATAATCGACTAAATTTATTCAACTTATAGTTGCTACATTTTTCGGTCAACTGACTGCAAAAAGAAGCTTTTTTCGGGTGTAGCTGGAAATGGGCCGCTATGTTGCGATCGTTTGTATCGCAAAGAGTTTGCAGAAAATGTTTCTATCTAGTATCAACATCAAATCTCCGAAGTTTTCATTTTAGGATATAACATCGATGTTTTATCGATGTTCCGAATTTGCAACATCGATGGTAAAAATATCGACCTTGAACGAATTACATCGATGTTTTGCTCCCATTCCTCATTTGAAGCAAAATCATTTAATTCCAAACTGGAAAAGGAATAAAAATTCATTTTCCCCACCACACCGACATGAATGGAATATGAGCATTTTGCAAGCGACACATGACTCCAATTATTGATTGCAAAATGCTTATGTCTTATCGATTCAAGATAACAACCGAAATGATCGTATATGCGATTAAGCAGTTGTTTAAATACGAAAGCCGACAAAGTGTGTCATTTATTATTTATTCCCGATAAACGAACTCCACTCCTGGGCCATTATCTCTGCACAAGCACACCAAAGTAAAGATGGGCTTTTGTTATTTCTCAGTAATTTTTCAGCTCCAGGAAGGGCTTGAAAGGATTATTTATAATGGCATTGTTCTTCGTCTGGTTAAATAATTAACCACCTCGCCTTCTTCGGATGCGCTTCTTCTTTCGTCACCATTATTCACTTTCTCGGGTTAGTGAAAATGTCAGGGCTTATTTCGTACAGATTGCATGCGATGACTTTCGGAATAACTATATTTTGCTCCTTATCTTATTGTCTATGTAAGTTTGATTTTTCCCACTATACGTCCGATATAAATTTACGAAAGTTCAACTTTAATTATTTATTTAAAATAGGACGAAGCAGAATTTTTCACAAAACAAAAACAAGTCACGGGAAATCAAGCTTCTAGCGCAGAACCCTGTAGAACTTAAAAAAATATGCTTTCTAGTACGATAGAAAGGTACACAAAATTACGAAAAAATAACTTCCGCCATTGATTTAAAATACTTCTGCAAAAAAGTCGTAGCTCAATTTTTTAGAGAACTTACATAAAACATCCATTTCATAGAAAATCAAACGTCTAACGCAAAACCTTGTAGAACATAAAAAAATATTTTTTCCCAGTTTTTGATGCGACAGAAAATTACTTAAATTTACGAAAAATCAATTTTCCGCCATTGATTTAAAATACTTTGGCATGAAATCCGCAACTGAAATTTTCACAAAACATACATAGATGTATTCTGCTTCATAGAAAACCAAACGTCTAGAGAAAAACCTTGTAGAACGTGTAAACTGAATTTTTCCAGTTTGATGAGATAGAAAATTATATAAATTTACGAAAAGTCAAATTCCGTCATTGATTTTAAATACTTCTGCATGAAAGCCAAAGCTGATTTTTTCACAGAACATACAGAAAATTATTCTGCTTCATAGGAAATATAACGTCTAACGCAAAACCTTGAACAACATAAAAAAATATTTTTTCCCAATTTGATGCGACGGAAAATTACTTAAATTTACGAAAAACCAATTTTCTGCCATTGATTTAAAATACTTCGGCATGAAATCCGAAGCTGAAATTTTCACAAAACATGCATAGATGTATTCTGCTTCATAGAAAACCAAACGTCTAGAGAAAAACCTTATGGGACGTGAAAATTGACTTTTTCCAGTTTGGTGAGAAAGAAAATTATATAAATTTACGAAAAGTCAAATTCCGTCATTGATTTTAAATTCTTGTGCATGAAAGCCAAACCTGAATTTTTTACAGAACATACATAAAGGTATTCTGGTTGACATGAACTCAAACGTCTAGTGCAAAACCTTGTAGAAAGTAAAAACCTTAACTTTTTCCGGTTTGATGCGATATAAAATTACCGCACAAAGAAACACTTCTGTTCACTTTGGTCTGATAGGGCAATAGAAATTAGCAAAAAATCAACTTCAATAAAAAAATTTAAATACTTCAGTTCAAGAGTCAAAGCTGAAATTTTCACAGGGAATTGATAGCAGTATTTTGCTTCAGATTAAAACCAATTTCTTCAGCTTGGAAAAAACTGCAGAAAGAGCAACACAGTAATAATGACTGTTGTTGCGGTTTAGGAAAATCCCCTGAAAAGAATGCAACAAACTTAAATGTTCTTATCAGTACTACCAAGTCAATAAATAGCAATCAGTTGAAGAATGTGTGACTTTTAACCTCTGCATTCACTTGGACTATTGAAGAGAACAAATGGCAATGACATTCATCTTGATCCAAGCCAGCCTGAAAATCGATAGATAGTATAGTGAATAGTTGCGTTCTACCGCAAATCAGCATCAATCTACGCAGAAAACAACATGATTTTCCACTTTGACAAAAACAGCACATCGAGTTGCATTCATTGCACAAGGTTAGCGGTGAAAACCTCAGATTGCGCCTTATATTGAATATTAGATATCAGTTGATTGTGCAATGTGTAGAACGTCAATCGAATTCATGGCTAAAATTATTATTATTAATAACAAATCAAGCGCGTCAAAT